TTTTTTAAGCTGCATGACCCTTTGATGGGCCATTTTACCTATCAGATCACCATACACCTTTTAGCAAACCGTATGACACCCTGACTTGTCAATTTGATATATTTTAAAGCTTTATTTTCTCAAAGTATTTTAGAATTAGAAGGTGGTAAAATAAAAATGAGTGATAAACATTCATCAGTGCATTTTTGTGGATGATAAAACTTTATGAACACAATCAACAAATGTTTTCCTCATATTTTGCCCTCTGTATGCTTAACTCCTCTGTTTGTAGCGGAGGTTTAAATAAATGTGCATTAACTGCATGCATGCTGCTCTGTCAGAAAACAGACAGAATGGGCAGGGTTATTTATGAGTGCCTCTCAGAGACACAACATTTCCAGCATCTAGATTAAAAAACACATTTTTATATTTTAGAAATGATGCATATCAGAGACTTGAAGCTGATTTTAAAGTGTGTTAAGTGCAACAGTCACAGAAAAGTGTGCTGGAAGTATTTGACTTTGACCCTAAATCTCATTATCTTTCTCAGCTCTGTAGTGAGAACTCTGAAGGCACGTCTTAGCCCGGTTCTGTGAAAAAGGGAAATTTTCTTCCTCACAATGCTGCAGAGGCATTTCCTGAGTTTCTTTCTGCTGTCAGTGGGACACCAAGCTGAAAAAACTCTTTTTTTTTTTCTTGTTTGGAGCCTTTTCAGCACTCTGGACAAACACCTACTGGAGCTGAGATTGGTTTTATTCTGAATTTTAAGAGAAAAGTTGTTAAATTTCAGTAGAAGTTCTTCTCCTGTGCTTTATGTTGACCCAAACTTTGACTCCAGCTGTCCTCCTCGGCTGTGGCCCTCTGGGACGGCGCTGGAGGACAGAAAGGGGAGGACTGTTTCACAAGCAGCTGCGCTCTTTGTCCTTTATTTCCTCTCCCTTACTAAAGAAAACAATAAGATGTGTCTCTGTGATTTATAGCTTATTTCACATGAAATAATAGTTTCTCGACTTTGTATTTTCACCGACACACAGGTTGGGGATTAGCATGTTTTATTATAAAAGGTTGCATCTTCTCACACACCGTCTCTCTGAGTATGTTTGGTGTCTGGTTTCCTGACGCCGGCCAGCTCTGCAGCGCATGCCTCTGACTGTACAGCTGTTTTTAGAAGCAGCCACTCTTGTCACTCTCAGGCTCTCACAAGGGCCTGTTTTCTTTTTTTTGACCTTGGCGAGGAACAGTTGACAAGTCCGAGTTTCACCGCCCCGCCCCCACCTGCTGCCCCCTAACATACTCCACACGCAGACAAAGTCTCGTGAGGGGCTCGCACATGAGCCAGTGTTTAGATCAACATTGTTTCTGGGAATTCCGCACCCTCATGGTTTTGGATTTAAGGACGGATAATATGGCAGGATGTCCCAGCGAGGAGGATCTGCCGGTCTGCGACTGCGACGTCAACAGGCAGGAGGGGTTTTGGGAGTTTAAAGCTTCTGCTGTTATGTTTTGTGTTGTAACCTTAGCTAGCTTCAGTTAGGAGTAGGATGGTTTATCTGAGAAGAAAGGTTCTTTTAGCATCAAGATGATGGAAGATCTGGTTTAACAGTGTTTAAAAATAATCTCCAAGCGTTTGGTTGGTCTAGTTTCTATAGTTCCAGATTAAGATTGCTATTTACGTTCATGTGAGGAAGCACATTAAGCGGTGCAGCTTGTTGCAGGTCAAGCATATTGTATCTGACTGATTCATGGTTGGAATATGGAGGAAGGTTACAGTTGTTTTGTGATTTAAATTTTTTTTTAATGATACAAATTATTCCTCTAAAATATTGTTGCACAGTGGGATGCCTAACCGATTGTGCTGTGCAGCTGATCTCACCTTAATTATCCCATAACTGATCCTGTTCTTGGAATATTAATGTTTGTTTCTGCAACTAAGACCTTTAGCAGGAGTAGTTTTGTTTGCTGACACTCTAAGAGTTGCATCGAGTTTGCAGGTTGAAGCGCAGAGTTGAAACGTACTATTGAGAGTGTACGGAGCAGTTGGTAATTATGTTACGCATATTTTAAACTTAGCGCAAAAAAGTTGCTAATACCCATTTCAAATGCACACTTTTGTGTCTCCAACAGTTGCAGTGCTGAGTGGTAAAGTCCATTAGTGTAACAAACCTTAGGTTTTTATCTTAACAGTAAAAAAGGAGACAGAAAAATGTTTTTTAAATGGATTTAAAGGGGACATATTACCCAAAACACACCTTTTGGATCTTTTATGCTGCCATGTGGGTCTGAACTGCCTCTGTAAACAAGTGTTTAAAAAAATCCCTGTTTATGACATCACAAATGGGGAAATTAGAATAGAACCGTCTCGTGTGCAAGAGAGCTGCTGGAGGAGCAGCAGCTCCCAGATGTCTGAGCTTCTCAGCTTATAGCAGCCTGAGTGGGGGAATTAAAATGCTGAAATTGGTTCATGCAAGAAGTATTTTGTACAAAGAACTTCATCAACGTGTTTTGTTTAGACCTTAGGACA